GGCCCGTGTGATACGAATGATGGACCACCAGCCGCGCGGTTAATGTGCGCAGTTGCAGTGCGGCCCCATTCTTTTGTCACAGAGAGCAACGGGGGAAATACACTTCCACCGTGTGTAATCTCTGTTGCTGCCCCCTGCAGCTAGGGAAATTGGGGGGGTGAAAATGGGGCTAAACCACAGGGTTTTACAGCCCCTCCCCCCCTCTTTTCAACCGTTAATTCTTCTGCCCAAGGACACCCTAGACGGGTGGATGCCATTTGGAAACTCGGGCACTGCCCGGGGGCCCCGGGGGGTTCAGTGGGGCCCCATGAGGATGCCCTGGTACCTTTTTCCTAGGCTTTTTTGTGTTTTGGGCAAGGACACAGGGGGCCCCTGATCGCCTATTGCCTGGAGGGGCCCCATGAGTTTGTCAGTCCTTGCCCCTGTCCATATGAGGTCCTGCAGCTACAGGCATCATGTCGTGTTAATGTTTTCAGGCCGGCCATTCTCTTTGAGGACGGTTTTTTTACTTTTTTCTTTCTTCTTTTTTTTTTTCAGTTTTCTTTACACGACACATGCAGGCCAGGTGCGTTTTTTTTTTCTGCATCAAAAACGCACATGATAGTAGGTTAATTGGATCCATTGGCTCAGTTCCCCCAGTGCGGTCACAGAAAAAATAGGTAGAAACATGCTGCATTTTTCTCTTGCAACCAAAACTGTTACCGTGAACGCAGTAAAAAACGGCCATTCTAAAATGCGTCTCTTAACACTCCAAAAACGCCACATGTACTTATAATAAGTGTGAAAGAAAAAGCAAGCAAACAAAACCAAAAACTAATGGGAGAACAGCATCAAAAACGTACCGGAACGAACACTCTCTAAACACACCATAAACATGCGGTCCTTTTTTAAGTTGAAGAATCGAAAATAATTGTACTGTGAAAACATCAAACAAACGCACCGGAATGCACCTAAACACAACCAAAAACGCACATTTCATTATATTTAAGCTGAAGAAAAAGGAAAAAAAGAATGAAACAGAAAAACACATCAAAAATGCACCTAAACGCACCAGAAATGCACATGTCCTTATATATAGTTGAAGAAAAAGGGAGAAAAAAACACCGGAAACGCATCAAAAACGTACCGGAACGCACCTAAACGCACCAAAACGCACATCTATTTTTTAGTTGAAGAGAAAAATTAACTGAAACATCAAATACACATCGAAACGCCGCCCCTAAACGCACCAAAAAATTGCACATGTCCTTATTTTAAGATGAAGAGAAAGTAAACAGAAACGCATTAAAAAAAAATGCACCGGAACGCACCTAAACACACCAAAATGCACATGTCCTTTTTAAGATGAAGAAAAAGGAGAAGGAAACGTACTGGAACGCACCAAAACGCACCAAAACGCACATGTCCTTTTTTAAGTTGAAGGAAAAAAATGAACGGAAAAACGCATCGAATACACACCGACACACCCCTAAACGCACCAAAAAAGCAACATGTCCTTGTATAAGATGAAGAAAAAGTAAACAGAAACGCATCAAAAATGCACTGCAATGCACCTAAACGCATCAAAAATGCACTGCAATGCACCTAAACACACCAAAATGCATATGTCCTTATTTAAGATGAAGAAAAAGGAGAAGAACAAATGGAAACGTAACCGGAATGCACGTAAACGCACCAAGATGCACATGTCCTTTTTTAAGTTGAAGGAAAAAAAATGAACGGAAACGCATCAAAAATGCACCAGAATGCACCTAAACGCACCAAAAATGCACATGTCCTTATTTAAGATGAAGAAAAAAGTAAACAGAAACGCATCAAAAAAGCACCGGAACGCACATGTCCTTATATAAGTTGAAGAAAAAGGTGAAAAAAACCAAAAAAACCAAATGGAAACACATCAAAAAAACGTACCGGAACGCACCTAAACACACCAAAACGCACGTGTCCTTATAAAAGATGAAGAAAAAGGAAAAAGAATGAACAGAAACTCATCAAAAACGCACTGGAATGCACCCTAAACGCACCCAAACGCACATCCTATTTTAAGTTGAAGAAAAAATGAACTGAAACATCAAGAACGCACCGGAACGCACCTAAACACACCAAAACGCACATGTCCTTATATAAGTTAAAGAAAAAGGAGAAAAATTAAGCAAAAAGGACAAAAAAGGACGAAAATCAAAAATGCACCTAAGCACTCCAAAAACGCACGTGTCCTTTTTTTAACTAAAGAAAAAGAGAAGCGAAAGGATGAACCGAAGCGCAATCAAAAAACGCACCGGAACGCATCTAAACACACAAAAAACGCACTTGTCCTTTTTTAAGTTGAAGAAAAAGAGAGGGGAGGACCATAACAACATAAAAAACGCACCTAAACACACCAAAACGCACATGTCCTTATTTAAGTTGAAGAAAAAGAGAGGGGAAAAATGAACCAAAACACACCGGAACGCATCAAAAACGCACATGTCCTTTTTTAAGTTGAAGAAAAAAGGGGGTGGAACCAAAATGCATAAAAAAAACGCACGGGAAAAGCACCTAAACACACCAAAACGCACATGTCCTTATTTAAGGGGGAGAATGAACCTAAACGAATCAAAAATGCATCTAAACACTCCAAAAAACGCACATGTCCTTTTTTTAAATGAAGAAACAGAGGTGGAAATAAATGAACCAACCGCACCAGAACGCACCTAAACCTACCAAAAACGCACATTAATTTTTTTTACCTGCAGAAAAAGAGGAGAAAAATTTATTAAAAACGCACCTAAACACACCAAAATGTCTTTTTTTAAGTAGAACAAGAAGGGAGGGGAGTAAATGAAGTGAAACGCATCAAAAATGCACCGAAAAAATCAATCGCGTCAAGAACGCGCATACAGAAAGGCATCTGCACTGCGTTTCTAAGGTGTGAACTGATCCTTCGGCAGATGTGATTGGAGGGGGCTGAACAGTGCGCAGCGGAAGGAGGTTCCCCATTACCCAGACAGAGAAGAACTGACGTCGGTCCTCCCAGGGGTGGACTGACCACTTGGAAACTCGGGCACTGCCGAGGGCCCGGGGTCAGTAGAGGGCCCATGAGATGCCCCTGGTACCTTTTTCATAGACTTTTTTGAGTTTGGGCAAGGACACAGGGGCCCCATGATCCCCTATTGCCCGGGGGCCCCATGAGTTGTCAGTCCACCCCTGCTCCTCCCTCTCTGTCACCCAAGAAATTGGAAGCCGGGACGATTTCCTCACTCCCAGGAAGGCAGCCAATCAGAACGATCTGTGTCATCGGCTGCATTGGAGGCCAGAGGAGCGATTTCTCCATAAAGAGGACCTGTCACGACCCATGTTGTCCATCCTCTGGGATAGCAATAAAGTTATTAATAATATATATAATAAAGGCCGATTCACACTATAGAACTGCAGTCCAGATGTGTTCCAGATGCGTTTCTGCATGCGTGCTTTTGGCGCGCTCTGCTGCGTTTCTGAGGCTTTCCGGTCCATTTCTTTCCCCTTTTTCTTCAATTAAAATAGAGACATGTGCCCTTTTTGATGCGTTTTACCGCGTTCCAATTCAGTTCCGTGCAGAAAAAATGCCGCCCTGTTCTACTTTTTTTTTTTTTCACCCGGAACTGCAAACGCTGATGTGAACGATGATACCGACCACCATATCGCCGACTTTCTGTGCGACACAAAAAAAAAAGCAACTGAAACACATGGAGTGTGAACCGGCCCTTAACCATTAGCGCCCGGCCAATGGCCGTTTGGCGGCTTCAAACGTGCTTCTGCATTCCAGGGTGTACACCATTTGGCGTGCTCCACGCACATGTGCAGTTTGTGCTAATGCAGAGCCGCGCAGCGGCGTGATCTGTCACCGGCCGTGTACCTCGGACACGGCCGATGACAGATCTGAGTACCGGCCCCGTTTGCTGGTACCATGTGACCTGCTGTGACCAATCACAGCAGGTCACATGACAGTTGTATACAATGGATGGCTTTCATTCATACCATCCATTGTATACTAGTATCAAGCTGTAAATGGTCACAGCTAATCACATGCACATGTCATGTGATTAGCTGTGGCCAAATCACAGCTAAGCACAAAAAAAAAAAAAAAAACCTGAATGAATCGATGTCATTCAGCTAAATGCTTGTTTATAGCAAAGTAATTCTTTGCTATAAGCAAATTGTGTAAAAAAAAACTAAAAAAATACTGATCACTTCCCCAAAGTAGTACAATGTTACTATGGTAACATTGTACTACTTTGGTCATAGTAAAATATATGAAAACACAAATCTTAAAAAAAATATAAAAAAAGAATAAAAAATTTAAAATAATAAAAAACTAAAAAAAAAAAATATATAATATTTTTTTTTTTCATACTGTCACCAGTCAGTGTCCCTGATCACTCACCATGCCAGTTATATGATGACGCTGTACTGCACTGGTGGACAGTATGTAAAAAAAATAGTGAAAATAATTAACCATTTTTTAAGTGTTTTACATTTTTTTAATTTTTAAGAGAAAAATTATGACAAAAAAATACAAAAGGGCATTAAAAAAACTTGCACATAAAATTCCTCTTATGAAGTAACGTCGGACATTCTACTCTGCAAAAAATGGGGCATTTTAGGGATATCTGTACCGTCCTGACATTTGGGGGATATGCTGTACTGTCCTGACATTTGGGCAGATTATCGTACTGTCCTGAACAAGCAAGCGGTAGTACTCGGGGATATCTGTACTGTCCCTGACATTTGGGGGATATCTGTACTGTCCTGACATTGGGGGGATATCTGTACTGGTCCTGACATTTGGGGGATATCTGTACTATTCTGACATTCTTGGGCGACCTCAAGAAATTAGATTGGCCGTCAGTACTTCAGGATTGATCAATATTCAGATCTATACCATAGTTAGTGAACTCTATAAACTTTCCTACAGACTAAATAATCCATCCTAATTTGGGTTATTGTCACCAAAGACCCCCATGTAGCAGAATACATCTCGGCCTAAATTTATGAAGAACAATTATTTATTTGTAAACTTTTATAACAGAAACAAAGAAAAACGTTTTTTGTTTTTTTTAAAATTTATGGTCTTTTTTTGTTAATTTAGCAAAAAATAAAAACCCGGCGATGATATAAATTCCACCAAATATAAAGCTCTAGTTGTGTGAAGAAAATGATAAAATTTTAGTTTGGGTACAGTGTTGTATGACCGCGCAATTGTCATTCAAAAGAGTGAGAGCGCTGAATACCTGAAAACTGGCCTGGGCAGGAAGGGGGAAAATTGCCCGGTATGGAAAATGGTTAAAAGTGGAACTTCGCTCTCTCGGGCCGGTGCACACTATAGAAACGCAGTCCGTATCAGGGGTGGACTGACCATTTGGAAACTCAGGCACTGCCCGAGGGCCCGGGGTCAGTAGGGGGGCCCCATGAGATGCCCCTGGTACCTTTTTCATAGGCTTTTTGAGTTTGGGCAAGGATACAGGGGGCCCCATGATCCCCTATTGCCCGGGGGCCCATGAGTTGTCAGTCCGCCCCTGGTCCAGATGTGTTTCGGTGTGTTTTTTATGCATTCCAGTTCATTTTTTCCCTCCTCTCTTTTTCTTCAATTTAAATAGGGACATGTGCGTTCCGGTGCCTTTTTGATGCGTTTTTTACCGCATTCCAATTCAGTTCTGTGCAGGAAAAATGCCACCTGTTTCTATTTTTTTTTTTGTGCAACCGGGAACGCACCGGAACTGCGTGCGCTGATGTGAACTATGACACTGACCACCATATCACCGACTTTCTGTGCGTTTTGGATGCAGAAAAAAGCAACTGAAACGCATGGAATGTGAATCGGCCCCTAAAACCGCACCGCCACATGAACTATTTGGAATCCTTCTGCTGCCACCATTAGTACAGTCCAGGGGCGGACTGGCCATTTGGAAACTCAGGCACTGCCCCGAGGGCCCGGGGTCAGTAGGGGGCCCCATGAGATGCCCCTGGTACCTTTCATAGACTTTTTTTTTGGGTGTGGTTTGAGTGTAGGTGAGGATTTAGGGGCCCCATGATCCCTATTGCCCAAGGGCCCCATGATCCCCTATTGCATAGGGGCCCCATGATCCCCTATTGCCCAGGGGGCCCCATGAGTTGTCAGCCCACCCCTGGCACATAGTAAGGAATATTAAATGACTTGTTTTAGGGTCGGTTCACACTATAAAAACGCAGTCCAACTGCATTCCGGATGCGTTTCTACAATGCGTGTTTTTTGGCGGTGTTTTTTCCCTTATCTTCCTTCTCTTTTCCTCAATTTATATAGGGACTGTTTTTATAATGTGGGGGTTCTAAGAAATTTTCTAGCAAAATAGAAAATTTTCCCTTCTCTTTTCCTTCAATTTATAACAGGAAGGATGTAAAATCTCCGGAGTGGGTATTATGATGATTAAAATGTTTTTTTTATAAAAAAAGTGCGTTGGGGGTTCTAAGAAATTTTCTAGCAAAATAGAAAACTTTCGGGTGACAACTCACTCTGGAGGGATTTCCTCTCACTTCCTGTTTGACTATGGAAACAGGAAGTGATGGAAAGTCTCCCAAAGAGAAAAAAATGGGTAAAAAAAAATGTTTTGTTTTTTTTTAAAAAGTGTGCGTTTGAAAACCGCTGTGCAAATACCCTGCGTGACATAAGAAATTGAACACCCGCCATTTTACATTCTCTAGAGCTTCTGCTAAAAAAATAAAAAATAAAAACATATATATATATAATGTTTGGGGGTTCAAGAAATTTTCTAGGGGTGACAACTCACTCTGGAGGGATTTCCTCTCACTTCCTGTTTGGCTATGGAACAGGAAGTGATGAAAGTCTCCCATGGGTATTACGTTTGTGTTTGTGTGCAATAAAATTCATTAAAATGTTTTTTTTTTTTTTAAAAGTGCGTTTGAAAAACCGCTGTGCAAATACCGCGTGACATAAGAAATTGCAACACCCGCCATTTTATTCTCTAGAGCTTCTGCTAAAAAAAAATAAACCAAAAAAAAAAAAAAAATATATATATATAATATATATATATATATATATATATAATGTTTGGGGGTTCTAAGAAATTTTCTAGCAAAAAAAAAGAAACTTTCGGGTGACAACTCACTCTGGAGGGATTTCCTCTCACTTCCTGTTTAGCTATGAAACAGGAAGTGATGGAAAGTCTCCCCGAAAGATAAAAAAAGGGTATTATGTTGTGTTTGTGTGCAATAAAATTCAATAAAATGTTTTTTTTTTTTTTTAGTGCATTTGAAAAAACTGCTGCGCAAATACCTCGTGACATAAAAAAGTGCAACACCCCCGCCATTTTATTCTCTAGACCCTCTGCTAAAAAATATATATATACTTCCATATAATATATATAATGTTTGGGGGTTCTAAGAAATTTTCCAGCAAAATAGAACTTTTCGGGTGGCAACTCACTCTGGAGGGATTTCCTCTCACTTCCTGTTTGGCTATGGGGCAGGAAGTGAAGGGAAATCTCCTCAATGGGGACACAGATGGACATAAAAGGCTTAGATTTTGTTGGTTTTGGACGGAGTGGAGAGGGGATTAGACCCTGTCAGGTTTTATTGCTGCACCCTTTTCTTCCTGTTTAATGTTATCACATATTTTGGGTTGTCACCAGAACAGGAATGGAATGGGGACACTAGTTCTGGTGACAACTCACTTTGCGAGGATTTCCTCTCACTTCCTGTTGAGGCCATGGAACAGGAAGTGATGGAAAGTCTCCCCAAAGGAGAAATAAATGGGTATTATGTTGTGTTTATATGCAATAAAATTCATTAAAATGTTTTTTTTTTTAAAGTGCGTTTGAAAAACTGCTGCGCAAATACCGCGTGACGTAAAAAAATTGCCACACCCGCCATTTTATTCTCTAGGGCCTGTGCAAAAAAAAATTAAATAAAAAATAAATAATATATATAATTTTTGGGGGTTCTAAGAAATGTAAAAATTTTCAGGTGACAACTCTGGAGCGATTTCCTCTCACTTCCTGTTTGGCTCTGGGACAGGAAGTGAATGAAATCTCCTCAATGGGAACAGGAAGTGAAGGGAAATCTCTGCAAAAGGAACACAGATCAAGAAAAAAGCTTAGATTTTGTTGGTTTTGGACTGAGTGGAGAGGGATTGGACCCCCTGTCGGGTTTTTTTTATTGCTGTCTGTGCCCCCCCATTAGGGAGATTCATCCCTTTTCATCCTGTTTAATGTTATCCTACATTTTGGGTTGTCACCAGAACAGGAACGGAGACACTAGTTTTAGTGACAACTCACTTTGCGAAGATTTCCTCTCACTTCCTGTTGTGGCCATGGAACAGGAAGTGATGGAAAGTCTCCCCAATGGGCACACAGATTACAAAAAAAAGAAATCTTACAAGAATTATACCCGTCCCTTCTCTTCAGTTTAAAACCGACGCTCAGGCACCAAGATGAAGAACATTTATGGGAGGCGTTTTATTAAGAAAATTATTTTTATTTCTGTTAAGATTTACATAGTCCAGTCACAGCAACACGGTGCCTAGCAACGCCAGACCCCGCCCACCACCAAGCGGCGACCATTTTGTCGAAGCCCCTTCACGGCTGTAATTGCCGGAAGTGCCGAGGACACCAGAAAAAGGGGCGGTCCGGCCTCTAGCGAACGGAACTCTGTTGACAATGTAGCCGGATGAGCTGACGATGCGTGTGGGCGGAGCTCTGGAGCGTGACAGGCTTGACTGGAGCTGGTTGGCCGGGCTGGGTCACATGCTTTCTACTTACAGAGTGAGGTAAGCACAGGATGTATATAGCGATGTGGTATGATATTTATGGGGGTCTGGAAGAGGGGGGCCCGTGTGCTGGTTATGGCTGGGAATGGGTCAGGGACATAGCAGGGCCAGCTCCGAGCCCCTCCACACTGACTGTGTGACCGGCTGCTGCTCCATGTCCAGTCAGGGCAGCGGCTTGGCTCAGTTCTGGGTGGAGGGGACAGTCTAGAACCCCTGTCAGGTTTTTTATGTTCTCAGTGACCCCATTGGAGAGATTTCTGCTCACTTCCTGTCCTGGTGACAACAGTCCCATCAGGCAGGAAGTGGGGGGTGAGATGGGGACACCAATGGAGAGCACAAGTGTGGTGTGGCTGCTGTGTGTATGGACCTGCAGACAGCACACCGAACTCCTCGCCCCTCTGAGAGATTCTTCTAGGGAACATCACATCACCCTAACAATGTCTGACCTGATGAGTGTATTTGTTGATGACTAAGAGATGCTCGCTTGTTTTGGGGGTAAGGGGGCCGAACGGAGCGATCTACTGTGGATGTAATGTGCTTTTATTTTATATATGGATGAAGAAAGAAATCGAGAAGAAAGGAGAAGTAAATATATTATAATAATAATAAGTAGGAATTAAATGTTTTTTTATTTTTTTTCATGTTATATATATATATATATATATATATATATATATATATATATATACATTTTTTTAATTATTTATTCTTATACAGGGTTTATATATATTTTTTTATTATTATTCTTATACAGGGTTTATACATATTTTTATTATTCTTATACAGGGTTTATATATATATTTTTTTTATTATTCTTATACAGGGTTTATATAGTGCTTTACGATATATATATATCGTACAGCACTATATAAACCCTGTATAAGAATAATAATAAAAAAAAATAATATATATCGTAAAGCACTATATAAACCCTGTATAAGAATAATAAAAAAAATATATATATAAAAATAAAAAAAATATATATATAAAAACTGTATAAGAATAATAAAAAAATATATATATATCGTAAAGCACTATATAAACCCTGTATAAGAATAATAA